CGAGGTTGAACAACTAGGGTGATACCTTGGCTTTCCAGCACTTGTGGATCGTTCTAGAATAGCTACTTTTGCTAGCTTGAAAAGATAATTCTAGAAGTGTATTGGTGAATAAAGGGAACAGCCATTATCAAGAGTTGGTAGGGAAATCTTAATAAAGTCAGTGTTGCAATCCCTACCAACATACATTATGGGGCTATTTCTTCTTTCCACTAGACTTTGTACAGACTTGGAAAGGATTATGAATAGGTACTAGTGGGGGGGTGGAGAGGAGGAATACAAGATACATTGGTTGGAATGGTGAAGAATGGCTATTCTGAAGAAGGACGAAGGCTTGGGGTTCCAGGCAATGCATGAGTTCAATATTGCTATGTTAGGAAAGCAAGGTTGGAGACTCTTAACTAATCCAGATTCCCTAGCAGCAAGCCTTATGAAGGCCAAATACTATCCTAGAACTGATTTTTTACATGCTTAAGTAAAGCCCACATGCAGCCTTACATGGAGAAGCATTTAGAACTCTATGGATTTGTTGAAACAAGGTTGCCGGAAGCTTATAGGAAATGGGCTCAATATAGAGATATGGGGTGATTCGTGGCTCCCAGGAAACTCACAATTCCATGTCCAAACACCAAAGCCTATTGGATGTGAGCTTCGTTATGTTAGTGACCTCATTGAGGAGGAATCCCATTAGTGGAAAAAAGATTTAATCTTGCATACATTTAGTGCTCATGAAGCTCAATTAATTCTTTCTTTGCCTCTTAGCTGGACGAGGATGGATGATAATTGGACTTGGAACTTTACTTGGCATGGAAAATATGCTGTGAGATCTGGCTATCATAAAGCTATGGAGATGTGAGGCAACCGAGATAGTCCTTTGAGTTCTTCCTCCAACTTTAGAGGTCGATAGCTGTGGTCTATGAAGGTGCCAGAAAAGGTACATTTACTAATGTGGAGTGCTTACCGTAATATTTTACCCACAAAGGACAACTTGCACCATAGACATGTTAATGTTGATTTAGAATGCCCTATGTGTGGAAATGAAAAGGAATCCGTGCTACACTATCTTTTATACTGTGAAATTGCACAGGCAGTATGGATGGGCTCCCCATTAGGAGTTCGGGTGTTTGAATTTCAAGTAGAGGACTTTGCTACCTTTTTGGACAATATATCTTGTATTTTCCATAAGGAACAACTTGAGCTTCTTTGCATTTTATGCTGGAAATTATGGAATTGCAAGAATGGGACACTGTGGACTGGTCGCCGAATGTCTCTCCAACATATCATTAAACATAGTATCACCTTCCTAGGAGAATATAGGAAATTAGTCCTGTCGAAAGGTAAGGGGGCTGCAATGGTACAAAGGAGAAGTGAAACGAGGTAGAGACCACCAGAGGTTGGCTTTATAAAAATAAATGTGATGGGGCAATTTCTATGCAGAATGGTGCATACGGGATGGGTGCCATAGCGCGAAACCATCAAGGCGAAGTGTTGGCAGCAATGGCGTGTAAGGGACAAGGAGCAGTAGCTGCGGAAATAGCTGAAGCATGCAGTCTACGTATGGCACTATAATGGGCTCATGATCTCACTTTTAGAAAGATTTTTTTAGAAACAGATTGCTTAAGCCTAGTGACAGCAATCAACAATGAATTTCTTTCCACAAATTCAAGCCTCGGTGATGTTCTTTTGGACTGTAGAGTACTGATGACTTCCTTCATGCATTGCCAAGTCAACCACATTCGCCGTGAAGGAAATGTTGTTGCCCATGAGCTTGCAAAATGAGCCCTCCAGGCTGAAGCAAATGAGTACTAGATAAAAGAAGTACTAGTTGACATAGCGCATCTTGTAACAGGGGACCGTAATGCCTCATGATATGTATTCTTCTTGTTTATATTATTCAATAAAGTATGCGTAGCATTCTTATCAAAAAAAGAAAAGAAAAGAAAAGAAGGTAATATTCCCATCTTGAGAAGTTGGTTAGTACACATATGGCAATCATTATTAACATGTTGCAATGTTGAGTTAGAACAAAATTCATCATGATTTCTCTACAATTCAAAATATTAGAGATATTGGCAAACAATAATTAAATAATATAAAAAAACCAGACCCAATGTTAATTTTAGAAAATCCCTTGATAATATTAAAGTTGGAGGTTATTCTCTATATTTTAAAGTTTAACACTTACTTTATTAGTAATGCCTATATTCTTGACAAATCTTATAATCTAATTGTTATTATAATCTTTGAGGATCTCTCTTCTGCCAATAGGTTTGAGAAAGGTAAGCCCCTTAGTATTACTGTTTAATAAAATATAGATGAGGTTTATGCTAATAAAATATACCAAATTACTTATTAGATAAATCAAACTAAATAAGAAAAAATAACTAAAATTTAATAGTTTTATAAATAATAAGATAAAGTCACTTAGAGTCTTAAAATAAGAATTCTTATAAAACTTTTCATTTTCATTTTGTTACTAAATTTTCCAAATAATGAATGAAAACAAAGCAATCTAATGAATTTTGACATAAGAGAATCATCTATGCATTTATCTCTTGTTTGGTTTAAGGGAAACAAAGTCCCATCCGCTTGTTTGGTTAGACTAAAATGCAAAATAATAATAATAACAATAATAAAAAGGAAGGAAAACCCCATCACTTCCCCTCATTTCCCCTCCAATTTTTTATTATCCAAATAGAGAAGTTTTTCTTCCTTTCCTCTCCCTTAAACCAAAAAGGACATTAGTGTTAACTCTTAATCAACCAAAAAAAGAAACAATAGCTTTCTCAGTATTTACAACAGGGATAATTTTGTTCCAAATTCTCAATAAGTATGAATATTTAATTGTTAGTATGGAGATATTAGCCATGGTAGTAAGGCTCCACACAATGAAGAGCATTCCCCATTCCCCATCCCCATGGTGTTTTTTTGAAGGAGAAAAAAAAATCTTCTCCCATTGCAATTTACAATAATTTATAAAAATTTATTATATGATTTTTTTCTTTGCAATATTAAATGAAAAATGTGTTGAGTAGTTAAGTTAAACTTGAATTGCATAATGAATATTGGGTTTTGTCATTAAAATGAATGATAAATTAAATAAATACATTAAAATTTATTAAAAGTGTTGGTTGAACCCAATTTAAAATAATTTGTAAAAAATTATTGTGTTATTAAGGGTATATTAAATAGAGTCCTCGTGAGACAAAAGAAAAATTGCCACCTTTAAATAGTATATGTGGTTTGAAGGAAATAGATGAAAGAGAACAAATGAGATTTATTTTTTTTTGGCAACTCCCTTCCTGTAGAATGGGAGAAAACGCCTCTCATCCTTTTACATACCATTGAAAAATGAGATTTGAATTCTGAAACTTTTACTTCCATTGAAAAGAAATTACCATTAAGTTATGCAGATCATTGGCAAAAGGAATGTGTTTTATAACCAATCAAATTATAACATTTTCAAATATTGCAATTTAATTAGTTGACAAATACATCATTTTTCTTCCTTCAAACCAAACATATACTTATAAGAGATTTTAGCAAAAATCCTACTTAAACTCCAAACTTACCCCAAAATAGTATTTAAGGCCCTAAACTAAAAATGAAGCAAATAAGCCCTCGATTTCCACCAATGATGCAAATAAACCCTTTTACTTCGTGGTTGTCCATGCTTTTAATGTGATATTAAACATGAAATACTGTTTGGGCCGTTTGTGGTAAGGGTTTATTTGTATTGTTAATGGAGTTGGAGGGCTTATTTGCTTCATTTTTA